GGGCATGGAGATGGATCAGAACAGAACAGAAATTTCTCGTCTTTCAGAAGATCTGTCAGATCCAGGGAGGAAGTAGAAGTCCCAAAACAGGATCAGAGAAAGTTGTTTGAGGTATCCAGAAAAGAAGATCCCAGAGTGGGCATTCCAGTGCCTAAGCTCAAAGGTCTCGGGTATCCAGGGCAGCAGGATGAGCTTCTGGAGAATTACGTCAGAATCAAGCACCTGGGGTCAAGAGCAGAACATCAAGCTCCTTTGAGTAGATAGATATACAACTTCAAGAAGTAGAAACAGTGACAACCCTGGTAAGTGGATGAGGAGCTGATGCTGGGTGGGGAAGTCAGGCAAGGTCTATCAGCATCAGATAGAAGATCACTTGGGATGGAACAAAGCAGAGGCGCTGAGGCAGGGTCTCTAAGACACTAATTATGACAAGCTGGGTGTTGTGAGCTGGGTAAAATCCTTTGTAGCTAGCACCTGAGATTGGATCCCTGGCGCTGAGTGCCAAGGGCTGGGAACTAACGACAGTATTTGCAGGCTGGAATTGAGAATTGGGATTAGCATGCTAGGAACTAGGGTTAGAATGTGAGAGTTGCGTTCTGGAAGTTGGGTCTGGAAATCAGCACCTGAAAGCCAGAGCATAGAAGCTATAAGGAAGGAATGGAAGCTAGAAACTGGGAGCTGGGATTAAGAGTTTGGAGCTATGAACTGGGAGCTAGAAGCTGGGAGCTAGAAACTGGAAGCTGGGAATGGGGAACTGGGAGCTTAGAGTTAGGATCTGAGACCTAAAAACTAGAACCTGGAAGTTGGGAACTAGGAATTGGGAGCTGGGGGCTGAGAATTAGGATCTGAGGATGGGGAGCTGGGAGCTGGGAGCTTGGAACTAGAACCTGGGAACTGAGAGCTAACAATTGGGAACTAGGAAATGGAAGCTAGAATCTGGGACCTAAGAGCTGGGAATTGGGTATTTGGAGGTAAGGGGCTGAGAATTAGGTTATGGAAGAGCTAGAAACTGGGAGCTTGGATTGGAAGTTGAGAGCTGGGACCTAGGAGTTGGGATTGAGAGCTGGGAACTAGAAACTGAGGTCTAGGAGCTAGAAGCTAGGAACTGAGAGCTGGGAGCTAGGAGCTGGGTTTGAGAGTGTGGAACTGAGAGCCAGAAGTTAGGGGCTGGGAGATAGGAGTTGGGAGCTAGGACCTGGGAGCTGGGAGCTAAGAACAGGAAGTGAGAACTGGAAGCTGGGAGCTATGGGCTGGGTGCTAGGAGCTGAGAAGTAGGATCTGAGATCTTGGAACTGGGAGCTAGGATGGAGAGCTGAGATCTGGGATCTGAGAGCTAGGAGCTAGGGGCTGGGAGATGGGAGCTGGGAGCTAAGATGGAGAGCTGGGGTCTGAAAGCTAGGCGCTAGGGGCTGGGAACTAGGATAGAGATCTGGGAGCTAGGATAGAGAGCTGGGAGCTGAGAGCTAGGAGTTAAGGGCTGGGAGCTAGAAGTTGGGAGTTGGGAACAAGGAGCTGGGAGCTAAGAGCAGAGACTGAGAACTGGAAGCAAGAAGCTAGGAGCTGGGACTGAGAGCTAGAAGCTAAGCAGTAACATTGAGAGCTAGGAGCTAGAACCTGGGAGCTAGGCACTGAGGGCTGGGAGCTAGGAGCTGGAACCTGGGAGTTGGGAGCTAAGAGCCAAGAACTAGGATGGAGAGTTGGGAGCTGGGATCTGAGAGCTAGGAGCTAGGGGCTGCGAGATAGGATCTGAGAACTGGGTGTTGGGAGCTAGAGACGGGAGCTGGGAGCTAGGGTGGAGAGCTGAGATCTGGGAGCTGAGAGCTAGAAGTTAGGGGCTGAGAGATAAGAATTGGGAGTTGAACAGCTAGGAGCTGGGAACTAAGAGCAGAGACTGAGAACTGGAAGCAGGAAGCTGGAAGCTAGGAGCTGAGACTGAGAGCTAGAAGCTAAGTGCTAGCATTGAGAGCTAGGAGCTAGAACCTGTGAGCTAGGCACTGAGGGCTGGGAGCTAGGAGCTGGGACCTGGGAGTTAGGAGCTAGGAGCCAAGAACTAGGAGGCGGGAGCTAAAATTGAGAGCTGGGAGGTAAGAGCTGAGATCTAAGAGCTGGGAGCTGGGATTAAGAACTGGGAGTTGGAAGCTGAGAGATGAAAGCTGGGAGCTATGTGCTGAGAGCTAGGATGGAGAGGTGGGAGCTAGGAGTAGAAATTGAGAGCTTGGAGCTAGAAGCTAGGAGCAGGAAACTAGGAGCTGGTAGCTAAGAGCTAGGAGCTGGGATTGAGAGCAGGAGTTAGAGGCTGGGAGCTAGGAGCAGAGAGCTAGGACCTGGGAGCTAAAAGCTAAGACCTGGCAGCTGGGAGCTGAGAAGTGGGAGGTAGGAGCTAGAATTGAGAGCTGGGAGGTGGGAGCTAGGAGCTGGGAGGTGGAAGCTGGGAACTGAGATCTGGGAGCTAGGAGCTGGCACTGAGAGTTTGGAACTGAGAGCTAGGGGCTGGGAGATAAGAGTTGGGAGCTAGGGCCTGAGAGCTGGGAGCTAAGAGCAGGGACTGAGAACAGGAAGCTGGGAGCTGGGAGCTGAGAAGTGGGATCTGGGATCTTGGAACTGAGAGCTAGGATGGAGAGCTGGGATCTGGGATCTGAGAGCTAGTAGCTAGGGGCTGGAAGATAGGAGCTGAGAACTGGAAGTTGGGAGCTAGAACCTGAGAGCTAAGAGCAAAGACTGAGAACTGGAAGTAAGGAGCTGGGATCTGGAAGCTAGGAGCTGCGACCCAGAGCTAGGAGCTAGGACTGAGAGCTAGAAGCTAAGCGCTAACATTGAGAGCTGGCAGCTAGGCACTGGGGGCTGGGAGCTGGGACCTGGGAGTTGGGAGCTAGGAGCTGGGAGCCAGGACCTAGGAGCTGGGAGCTGAAACTGAGAGCTAAGAGGGAAGAGCTGGGAGCTAGAAGCTGGGAGGCAGGCAAGAGCTGGGAGCTATGTGCTGAGAGCTAGGATGGAGAGCTAGGAGCTAAGATCTGGAAGCTGGGAGCTAGGAATAGAAATTGAGAGCTTAGAGCTAGAAACTAGGAGCAGAAAACTAGGAGTTGGTAGCTAAGAACTAGGAGCTGGGATTAAGAACCAAGAGTTCAGAGCTGGGAGCTAAAAGCTAAGACCTGGCATCTGGGAGCTGAAAAGTGGGAAGTAGGAGCTAGAATTGAGAGCTGGGAGGTGGGGGGCTAGGAGTTGTAAGGTGGGAGCTGGGAACTGAGAGCTGGGAGTTGGAAGCTGGGAGCTAGGAGCTGGAACCTGGGAGCTAGGATCAGGGAGATGGGATTGAAAGCTAACAGCTGGGAGCTAGGAGCTGGGATTAAGATCTGGGAATTAGGCAGTAGGAGCTAAAGCCAGGGATTGAGAACTAGGAGGTTGGATTTGGGAGGTAGGAGCTGAAAGCTGTGAGCTGGGATTGAGAGCTAGGAGCTGGGAGATAGGAGATGTGAGCTGGCACTCAGAGCTGGGAGGTAGGAGCTACAAGTTAGGAGATGGGAGATGGGAGTTGGGAAGTGGGAGCTGGGACTGAGAGCTTGGAGCTGGGAGTTAGGAGATGGAGGCTAGGAGATAGGAGCTGGGAGCTAGGAGTTGGGAGCTAGGAGCTAGGGCCTGGGGTCCTGGAGCTAGGATTTGAGATTGAAAGCAGGGAGCTAAGAGCTGGGAGCAGAGAGGTGAGAATGTGAGCTTGCAGCTAAGAGCTAGAAGCTAGGAGCTGAGAGGTAGGACCTGGGAGCTAGGAGGTAGGAGCTGGGAGAAGGGATCTGCAAGTTAGGAGCTGGGATTGAGAGCTGAAAGCTAGAATCTTGGACCTAGGAGTTGGAGCTAGGACCTGGGGGCTGGGAAACAGGAGCTGGGAGCTAGAAATTGCCACCTTGGAACTGGAATTAAGATCTGGGAGCTGGGAACTAGAACCTGGAAGCTAGGAGCAGGAGGCTTGGGGCTTGGCTCCTGAAATTGGGATTTGAGAGCTGGAAGCTAAGAATGGAAACTGTAAATTAGTAGCAAAGCAAAGAGCTCATTCATGGGAGTTGGATCTGTGATTGTTGAGTTGAGGGTTGAAATCTGGCAGCTAGGAGATGGGAAATATGCTCTAAGAGTTAAGAGCTAGCAGCTGGGAACTAAATTCTAGCAGCTGGGAGCTGGAGGGTGTATGTTTGGAGTTGGCTTTGATTTGAAGGTTTAAGACCTAGTAGCCTGGAGATGAGAGCTGGGACTGTGGGAGATTCTGTGGCCTGAGAGGTCATTGTTATAGACTGAGATCTAGGTGCCAGGGACTGTCTTGGGATCTGGGTACTAAGCTCTACATCTACCAACTAGAGGCTGAAGCCAGGGGCCTAGAGGCTGTGAGCTGTGTTAAGGTCCAACAGCAAGTTACTCAGGACTTGGGGAGAGAGTTCAGGCCCAACTACTAGGAACAGGAATTTGAAGACTGGGCGCTAGGGCCTAGAGGCTGGTACCGGGGCCTGGGGGTAGGGGAATGAGAGATAAGGGCTTGGAGCTGTGACTTAGAGGGTTGGGTACAGGGAGTTGGAGCTGCTTTAGCCAAGAAACAGAGGGTATTGACAGCTGATTTCCTGGGCAGGGTATGTTTTCTGGTGGCCCCTTTCAATGTGGAGAATTCTTGGCAGATCTGGACAGAAAGTGCCAAAGTTGGGAGAGTGGCCAGGATTTGTACAGGTCAAATCTGGGTGGGTGGGTACTGGCTGTCCCATCCTGAGAGCCCTGAGGGTGGTGCCGTGGTCTGAGCTGAGTGACAAGGAGCAGGGAGCAGAGGCAGGAAACCAGCCTGGCCTCAGCTTATGGATTTTTGAGGGCTAGCTCCAAGAGGGGCCTGGCTGCTCACCTCACTGCAGAATTAAAAAACCAGAAGTTCCTCTAAAGGGCCTAGTTCTGTGACTGGGCTGTGGGATCACGGGGTGGGGTCAACAGGGGTTAACCAAGCAAAGAGGCTTGGACAGGGGCTGTTGGGGCCTGGGATGCAGGAGGAAAGTGAGGAGCCTCAGAACTCGGGCCTCACAGTAGTAGTGAGTCTGAGCTTCAGGAACCTGCAACCTCAGGCACTTGAAGCACCCTGAGCTGGGCCAGCTGTGCTGTTCAAGTAGAAAAGAAGTGGGTTGAAGGGCAGAGATAGGGCTCCAGTTGGGCTGAGGTCGGCTGCTTGAGCCTAAAGAGACAGGTCTGTGAGGCAGGTGGGCAAAGCTGTGACAGACAGGTGGGCTGAGCTTGAGGAGGGAGGAGAAGGTGGTACCTTGGAGCTGAGTTCAGGCAGGACCACTCCAGAGGACAGAGGTGTCAGGATAATGGAAGACAGGCTGGAAAGACCGGCAGGTCACATGGGCCAGGGGCAGCAGAGGGGTTGATGAGTACTAAGTAGACAGGGTCACACAATGACAGTCTGAGAAGTGAGGAGCCCAAGCCCAGATGTGAGGCCAGACTGAGGTTATGGAATATAGAAAACAGTGGAAAGCAAAAGCAAGGCTGATAATCACTGGCCTGAGACACCCTGGACAGCATTTGCTGGAGTGAGGAGGTGGACTACAGGATTCCTAGAGCCATGGAAGCAGAGAGCAGTGTGGAGAGAAATTTGGCGTGGAGAATTCTGCACCGCAGTGCAGACAGAGAGAAAAAGAGGCTGCCATACCAGGGCCAGACTTGGGAGGGAGGAGGCATGGACAGTCACTGATTCGGAATCCACAGAGGAACTGGCTAGAACAGGAACCACATTCCAGGCCAGACAGAGGTCTGGCTGCCAGGAAAGGTGGAAAAGAGACTGAGAGACCCCAGGACAGAGCTGATGGCAAGGAGCAGTTGGACAATGGTGAGATACAAGGTTGCAACTGGAGCAGTGCCTGGAAGTGCACCAGCTCAAAGCCACCTCAGTCTGTGTCTTCTACCTCTGAAGTAGAAGGTGGGGGGCCACTGCGGTGACTAGATGTGTTTCCAGGAGTGTGCTCTCTAACCGGGGAGCACACAGTTTGGACAGGTGGTCAAGAGGCCGACTGCACCTGCGCATACATCACACGGGGCCTCCTCTTTTGCAGCCTCCCCCACCGCCCCATCAGTCTTCCCTCTGGTACCTGGCTGCGGGAGCAAATCTAGCTCCACCGTGACCCTGGGATGCCTGGTCTCCAACTACATCCCAGAGCCTGTGACAGTGTCCTGGAACTCAGGTGCCCTGTCTGGTGCGCACACCTTCCCGGCCGTCCTGCAGTCGTCTGGCCTCTACACCCTCAGCAGCGCTGTGACTGTGCCCGCCAGCAGCTGGTCCAGCCAGACCTACACTTGCAGTGTCAGCCACCCTGCCACCAACACCAAAGTGGACAAGAAAATCGGTAGGCCACAGGCAGGGTGGGAAGGGGCCTGGATGTGCTGAATGGGTAGGACTCACCAGAATCCCAGAATATCTTCCACACCTAAAAGTGTTCTCTACCTGAGACTTTCATGGGGCCCCAGTCGGGCCCAGGGTGGATGCAGTATCAATTTCCTGAGCCCAGAGGTGGAGGGCAGGTCTCAGTGTTTCCAGCTACCTCATGGAAAAACCTGACTTGCCCTCATCCCAGTATGTTCCCCAAAAACTCTCCATTCCCAAATCAAGGCCTCAACTCTCCTTTCCACCAAGGTAACTCTACCCTAATCTGTCTTCTCTCTCTTTCATGCCAGCAGGTGAAGGATCTCTCCCTTGCGCAGGTAAAGTGATCCCCGCTCTTGCAGTGAGAAGCCTACTACAGTGGGAGGGCATCCCCCTGTCCCCAACACCCCATCCCTGACTCTCAACTCTTCCTACCAGGAAGCCCAATAGGACCCTCCATCTTCATCTTCCCACCCAAAGCCAAGGACGTACTCAAGATCTCCCAAAAGCCTGAGGTGGCTTGTCTGGTGGTGGATTTGGGCCATGATGACCCTGAGGTCCACTTCACCTGGTATGTGGATGGCGTAGAGATGGAAACAGCCAAGACCAGCCCACGAGAGGAACAGTTCAACAGCACTTACCGTGTGGTCAGCGTGCTCCCCATCCAGCACCAGGACTGGCTCCAGGGCAAGGAGTTCAAGTGCAAGGTCAGCAGTGAGGCCTTCCCATCTCCTGTTGAGAGGACCACCTCCAAGGCCAAAGGTAAGGCAGCAGGTGGGTGGAAGGGAGTGAGCAACCCCACCCTATGTACCGAGATTAACTTTCCCATGCTGATGTTTCCACAGGACAGCCCCAGGAGCCCCAGGTGTACCCCCTGCCCCCTCATCAGGACGAACTGGCCAAGGGCAAGGCCACCCTTACCTGTATGATTACGGGATTCTACCCCGAGTCCATCGATGTGGAGTGGAAGCACAATGAGCAGCTGGAGTCAGAAGACAGCTACCTGAACACCTTGCCTCAGGTCATGCCAGATGGGAACTTCTTCATGTACAGCAGGCTCACTGTGCCCAAGGACAACTGGGACAAGGAAGACACCTACAAATGCGTGGTGATGCATGAGGCGCTGCACAACCACTACACCGAGAAGTCCATTTCCCAATCTCCTGGTAAATGAGTGCTGGCCAGTTTGCCCAGCGAGCCTCTTCCCATTGCTCTCGCAGGGAACCCCCGAGCACACGTAACACCTCACCTGTAAATATTACCCAGACAATCCACCTTGAAAATAAAGCACCCAGCTCTGCCCTGGAGTTCTGCAAGACTAGCATGGTTTCTTTCTAAGATCTTGTTCTGCTAGACTACATACAAGTCAGGCAAGACCTGAGACCTACACTGTCAATGCTGAGGGAGAGTGTGGCATCATGGGGCAGTTTCCTCACCATCCTGGCTGGGTTGGATAGAGGGATGGAACAGACATATTGACCGGGGGAAGTAATGAGGTGGAACATGTCCATCCTTGTCCTCGGGGTTCTTGACTACAGGACCTTGCAGGATTATATATAGTGGTTCTCTGCCTAATACAGAGGGCCTCAGGATGTGAGAGAAGGGCTGCTTTTTCATAAGAATTCCAAGAACATTCTAATCCACACAATACATCGGAAGTTGTATGTCTGTAGGGTTGGAAAGGCATTGGCCAGGGACCCTCATGGACAGTGAGAAACAAGACCCTCCTGCTAAACAGCCCTCCAGTCCTTACAGGTCACCCTCATGCCCTGCACACAGGAACACATGATCCAATAGACCACAATGAATGCACCCACACGTACAAACTCACACTCACATGGTACACAGGTTCTCTCACAGATGCTCACAACCACTCACACAGGCACACATGGGTGCATGCAACACAAGCACTCTCATACATGTCCACACACATACACACACATGAGCCTTTAGATATACTTACCCTCTATCAGACATGGATATATCCACACACAGGGACACGGTGTATAAATATTGTCATACACAAACATGTGGGTACATGCTACATGCACTGTCCTTGATGTACACATAAACACGTAGATACGAGCCATACCAGCACTCTCACATATGCTCCCATAGTCCTATACATACATGGGCACAAACACTGTACATGCACAAACACACACATACACATGGGCAGATGGGACACAAGCATTCTCATACACACATACATACTCACAGCCCATGAACACACAAACATTCCCATAGACATATGTACAAGCACAGGAATGTACAAGCATACACACACATGCACACATACACACAGGGGCACTTAGTGCACAAGCACTATCACACATGCAAGCACAGGAATGTTGGTCACACATAAACAAATATATACATGGATACATGAATTCACAAACACTCTCATGCACGCTCGTGTGCATACAGACACAAGACACATAATGTCATACATGTATACATCCAAATACACAAGCACATGGGTGCAAAAGAACTGCTTATACACACATGCAAAGATATACACATGGGTTCCAAAACACTCTTACGTGTGCACATGTACACACATACAAATACATGGTTAAAAAGGACACATACACTCTCATGCATGCACCTATGTAAACACATGGGTGCCCAACACTCCCCATATGCATATGTGGGCACATGGGTAGACAAGCACTCTCACACTTGTGTGCACATGCAAGCAAGTGGGTTTGTATGCATTCATGCATGTGCATACATGCACAAGAATATAGGCAAATATGCATGTTCTCATACTATTATGACACATGGATACTACACATGCAATGCCGTACAAATGTATATATGCACATACAAATAAGTACGTGGACACATTTGTTCATGTTCCCATACACATATATTAGAGAGACACATACACATATACAGTATACACACACACAAGCGCACAGTCCAAAACACATACATTCACACATACACGCACACAAGTACACAAAATGCATACATATGGGAATGCAGGCACACCCAAGCACAAAATCACACACACACTTGCATGCATACCCTTACACACTGAGACCTCACACAGGCAAACTGCAAAATGCCTTCACACATGTCCCTAAAGACATGGGTCATGTAAACACATGCCAGCCTCCAGCCTACTTCCAGCTCAGCTAAACCTGACTGGCTTATTCTGCTTCCCAGACCCCCGCTTCAGACCCACTCACATCACATCAGGCTCATTCCTGAGCTGACAAAGATGCTTCTGTCCCCTGTCCACTCATACTCAGTCAGATGCCCAGCACTGTGCTCAGTACCCAAACTCACTTCTCAGCACTGTGCCTCACAGCCAGCTTTATGTTACTGTCACCAACACCCTGACTTACCTCTCAGCTCTGCGCTTCCCCACAGAGGGCAGGCTGTGTTGTCCCTCCTGGGGTCTGCACTTCCAGGTGGGAGACAGGCAGTAGTGGGTGGGGCTGCAGATTGCAGGGAGGCTTGTTGCAGGGAGGTGTTGCCTTGTCCCTAAATTGTCCCTTATGCTGCCCTGACTATCTCCATGCTAGAGGCCTAGTGAAAGGATGTAGTGCCCACAGACGGTCAGACCATGATAATGGTGAGGGGTTTAAGCTGTAGGAGAGGGCTAGCATTGAAGACAGTGCCCAGGGCTTTGAAGATGTCCTCAGCAATTTCCAAGAGGCCAGAGATACTAGTCCAAGAATGGTAAGACCAAGTTGACCTTGAGGTCCTGCTGGCACAGTGTTTCAAGAGATAAGGCAGGCATAAAGACGTCAGGGGACTGGAGGGCCACCTCCAGAAAAACAGAGACTTCCTATCTCTCATCATTTGGGCCCACTCACAGCAGGCACATCCAAACTAACCCTTAACTCCTACTCAGAGCTTCACCCGGATGAGAGCTGTGCGGAGGCCCAGGAGGGAGAGCTGGATGGGCTGTGGACCACCATCTCCATCTTCATCACTCTCTTCCTGCTAAGTGTCTGCTACAGTGCCACCATCACCCTCTTCAAGGTCTGGTCCCCAGGATCTCCACTCTGACAAGCCCCCAGCCCTGCCACCCACAGGTGTTTCTCCCAGGAGGGTCCCTATGCATCTGGCAGCCAGAGACACAGCTGGGTGTGTGGGCAGAGGGACAAACGAATGTGGCTCTCTCAAGTGTATGGACAGAGGGAGGGATGAGCCTGGGCCCCTGGGCATATGAGCAGGGGAGATATACCCCTGCCCCTCACCATCACGCTCTCATCCATAGGTGAAGTGGATTTTCTCCTCCATGGTGGAGCTGAAGCGCACAATCGTGCCCGACTACAGGAACATGATCGGACAGGCAGCCTAGCGGCTGCTCAGGAAACAGCACACAGAAGCTGGCATCTCCACATCAGTTCCAGGGGCCTCAACTGCTCTTCACTGGGCCTTGTCTTGCCCTGCTCTCTGGCCCTGCCACCTCTGACCCCTCTCTGCCTTCTGACCATACTGCTTCACCTCCCATCTAGCAGAGAAGCTTGTGGCATGACTCTTGGCTGCTGGACACCTGCCTCCACTACCAAATATCCTTAAGACATCACCAGGAACTCCTATTGGGTCAGTGAGCCAGAAGACCTCAGGGTCAGCTATGTGTCCATTCTAGAAGGGCTGCTCCCTGTGTCCATTTGGAGCAGGGACCTGAGTGCACACCGGACCTCACAGGATGTTTCCAGGAACCGCTGCACCAAGGCAAGGACGCAGCCACCTTGTCCTAGGCCATGTTTGGTCATATCCATGCTGGAAATTGCTGAAATTCTCTACAACTGCTATGAACTTGGTCTGAAAAACATGCTCATTTTAATTTTGAGCAGTAAAGTTTGTCTCTGACTCCTAGGCCGAGGCTTCTCATCTATTCCCAGATGCCCTTAGTGCTCTCAGATGGTGATCTAAGGGACAGCTGCCCCCAGCATCTTCCCTTATGGAGATCGGACAAGGGACATCTCCCCAGGCTCTAATCCAAATCCAGCCCCACCTCCACCCAAGAAACTATCGGAGGAGACCTGGGCTGCCTGTATGGACCCCACAAAGTCTGAAGTGCAAAGTTAAGGTCTGCAAGAGACAATAAACATCGTGTTCTCTAGAAAGGACATCAAGTCCAAAGGCTTCCTCGAAAGAGACCAAATGATAAAGGTCCCAGATGTGTACAGAATGGTATGAGAAGTTGACAGACTTTGCCCAAGACAAATAGTATGTAGTCACAGGGATGGCTTAGACTCTAGGAGTCATGTCTTGTGAGTGTGACCCTGAAGGGAAGCAAGGCAGGCTAGTGGGGGACCCAGTCCAGACCTCACTGCCCTTCTGGGCTTTATGTCTGCCATCTTCCCATTGAGCAAATGCCCATCAGAACACCGCCATGAAGGACCCAGCTCATCAAGCCAACCAATCAAGTTGGGAAGAAGAATGATACAAAATCAAGCAAAACATCAAGCATAGGCCATGATTTTCAGTTTTGCAACTCCTTCTTTTTAGCTTTCTGAATGGCCTTGTTTTTCTTTCATGAAAATGTGTTGTTCTTGTTTTTCAGTAACAATAAAATAGCTTTAAAAGATGTGGTAATTTACCATGGATGTAATTTTTCTGTGGCAACACTCAACTGCGTATCACTCTGAGGTGAGATCAACCAAACTATGGTTCCCAGAGGGCCCTCCACACCTGATCTCTCAGTATCAGGATCCTTTCTCCAGCAAAGTTCTGCTTCCCAGTTATTGATGCATCAGTTGTATCTGCCCAGTCTCTCTGTGTTCTAAGCAGGAGAAATGTGTTGACCAAAAATATCCAACCTTTCCAGAAGAGTTGGACCTTGCTGTAACCAACACCATGTGGGATAAACCCTCAGTCAATCTCTGTAGTCCCTAGTGTCTGAGGCCAACATGCTAGGAGAAATGACTTCAACATTTGAGATGGGTGGGGTGTTTTGAGGAGGTCCTGAGAGTTCTACATGGATTGTCAGCAGAGACCCAGAGGCCGCACAGGATCCATATTTGACATGGGTTGTAGGAGAAGCCCCATTCTGTTCTCAAGATGCAAGAAGCAGGAGGGATGACCAGAATCAGGCCTGTACAGGCTCTTACAAGATTGTGATTACCACTCCACAGGTAGTGGTTGTTGTTGTGTACCATTGAGTCAGAATTGTCCCCTAGTTGATCTTCCAGAGGCAGTGAATCACACAGTAGTATATTGCTTAGCTTTCGTGGAACAACTAGTGGATTTGAACCACATACCTTTGTATTGGCAGTGCAATTTCTTACCACTTGACCACTAGAACTCCCTCCTGCACAAGCAGGTGCTGGTAATCTTGCATTATGTGGAACTAGTGGGAATGAGAAGAGAAACATTTGACAAGAAGATTTATGATGCAGGAGCCAAAAATCAAAAGCAAGAGAATTGTTAACAGTGGTGAAAGCAAAGGCAAGAATCAAATCAGTGAGGGTAGAAGTTCTTTATGTTCTTTTATTTGTTCCCAGATAGAAGAGGCAAAATGAGACCTACCTTCTCTAAACCAAAGGACTTTTTGGAATCATTTACAAGCCCTCAGTTCTGCTTTCCCATAAGTATTGATGTATATACAAGAAGACATGTTGACTAAGGCACAGATTCCACCTTACTCTGATAGCAAGTGTTCCAAGGCTATTCGATGGTCCTTCACCATGGTAGTTAGGGAGTCTAGAGAGGTTGCCAACACATTTAATCCCCACCCAGAGTCCTTAGCAACAGTTTTTGGAGTGTGAAAGCATAATAAATGATTCCTTCAGAGAGGTCCCTAATGCTGTAACTAAGGTCATAATTCTTTTAAGATGTTTATCTGTGACTTGAGAGTAAGAACAAAGGTCATAGTATGCTTGGAAAGTGTTAGGGTCTGAAAATACCCACATGACAGTGCAAGGAGAATGTATCTCTCTGGCTGGCATTACTGATAATAATTAGGGTGCTCTGGTGGTCTAGTTGCAAGAAGCTGTGCTGAAATCTCGAAGACATGTGATTCAAATCCACCTGCTGCTCTGAGGGAGGACGGGCAATCTCCTCCAGTCTGATTAACTGCTTCTGAAATCCCGCCAGAGGTGCAGCTATGGGTTGGTTCTGACTCAATAGTACACAGCACACAAACACCAATGCAGGTAATTGGGTAGGTAGAGCTCTGATGATTAATAGCTCTAGTGTTAAGGAGTTGTTTTGTGAACCCCAAGGTACTGCGATGGGAAAGTCTACTGTTAGGGACCTCTCCAAAGTACTGAAGAGCAATGGTGTCTCTCTGGAGACTAAGGTGCGTCTGATACAGGCCATGGTCTTTGCTATCACTTGTTATGCATCAGAGAGTTGGACAATGACCAAGGAGGATAGAAGGAGAATTGATGCCTTTGAGCTGTGGTGCTAGAGAAGAGTATTAAGGGTACCATGGACTGCTAGGAAAACAAACAGATTCATCCTGCAAAGGATCAAACTGGGCGGCTCCTTGGAGGCAAGGATTCTGAGGATCCATCTATCTGACATACTTTGGACATGTTGTAAGGAGAGACCCGTCCTTGGAGAGGGACATCATGCTTGGTAGGGTGCAGGGACAGCACAGGAGGCGAAGGCCCTCTATGAGGTGGATTGATTCAGTGACTGGGATAATTGGGATAGGTGTATCGGAGACGGTGCGACTGGCACAGGATAGAGCAGAGTTTAGGGCTGTTGTACATAGGGTAGCTATGAGTTGCAAGCAACTCAACGGCACATAACAACAACAACAACAAAGGCAGGTGGTTCTAATTCACCAGTTGCTCTGTGGGAGAAAGATTGGCAATTTCCTTCCGTGTGATTTACAGTCTCTGAAAAATCTTCTGAAAAGTCAGTTATGAGCAATTTCCAACTCCATCACATGTAACAACCACAACGATGCAGGCCCTTTTCTGACCTTGGCATAAGAACCATCGATCTCCTTGAGACAGACAAGTTGGGATTCTTCTTACTAAAAAATATCCCTTGGATTAAAGAACTTGGGAAAAGAACATGTCTTTGAAAGGTTCAAATTGTTATGAAGGAAGATGGAAGATGGTAACCAGAGCACTGGCAGTGAAAAATCTGTGATTTCTGCACATTCTGAGTAGGGAGCATTATTTCCCTTTTTTCCATATACCTTTGGACTTAGATGCTCTTACCCAATCTTGCCAATGTTTCCTGCATTCTTATCCGTTCAGATGAAAATACTCTTTAGGACTTTGGAGTATCTTGGGAATTTATATGTTGCCAGTTTCATGGCATGTATGGGAAACATAGTTGCAACTAATAATGTTCCAAGATCATATGATACAACCGTAATTCAAGTGGATGGCAGGGCAGTATGGTAGGTACTCATTATTGTTGCCTCCATACAGGTGTGGAGGTGGATTTTGTTGACAGTAAAGAATATTAAGGTCTGTTTTAGGTAGGAGAGGATTTTTACAAGTGTACTTGAGTTCTTGAGAGAACTTTCTAGTCTCAGAGTCAGCAGGGAAGTACCAAGAGATATCAATTTGTATGGCACATTGAGTCAATGCAGAACACCACTAAGTCCAGGAGAGTATTTTGTTGCACAGGTAGGGAGTTAACTTTAAGGATGGCTACTTTGCATTCTTAGAGATTTAAAGAGATGGTTTCGTACTTTAAAAATAGGTGCCCCATGGAGATAGCTATTGTCAGTGCTCTTTTATTTCTATTAGATAGCTGTCATTGATATATCCAACACTCAGTAAGACTATTCCCAGAAATTGGACTTTTAGAAAAATGTCCAGGAGTGCTGCCCTTCCATTTCCAACCTGTCTCTTTGCTCTTAGTGTTGCTTAGAAAGCACAGGACCCAACTGATAACTGCCAAGAGAAGGACCATTTTTGTGAGGTCTTAAAGAAGTGAGAATGAGCCTGTTAGTCCAAGTAGACAATGAATACAAGTAGAGTTGAGTGAATATTACTCATCTTTTTGTTTGTTTGTTTGTTTTCTTCATTTTAAAGAAGTTTTCAGTCTGTCTTTCCTTGAGAAGAATTTCTTATCTCATAAGGTTTTGTCCTAATTTTTGAACACAAAGTTTTAAGCATGAGACATGAACCCAGGCATGTTTCCCCCTTGACAACTGATAGAGTGGTTAGGGGAACTTCTCACAAGTCTTGAAGGTCTTCTATCATAGTTTCCTGCCTTCACATTTTCATTAGGAATTCATTGCCAGCCTGTAAAATAAAGCCATTGAACTTTTCCAGTTATGGTAAGATTTTTATTTCCACACTTCAAAAGGGATTTAAGGACTTTCAATAGGAAAATTATATTCTGTATTAAGAATTGTGTTTCTGGGTCAGTAAGGAT